TTTTATTCTCATATTAGGTTTAGCTTTGATTTTTTCAATAATGTATTCCAGTATTACATTGATCTGTACCCCTGTATCTGATTTAAAAGTCACCATTAGTCCGTTGGTGCCCAGGGTGATTGTCCAATCCCCAAAAGAATGAGCTTCTTCTTGCATCATGCTAATGAGGACTTCTTCCTCTTCCTTGTTGAATAAAGCATGCACCTGCTGTTTCCTGTGTGTTGCATCCTTTCTGCAAACTCTTGCAAAGTGATTGAATCTTTTACATTTGTTGCAGTGCATTGCATGGGTTTGTGGTAACCCACACAGTATCTGCAGCTAACCATTGTTTCTTCAAGCAATTCTCTTTGGCCTCTGCTTGCAGGCTTCATAGTGAGATCCTCCTTTCTGTATTGTTTGTGTGTTGCCTTAGATTTTTGCAGTCTTGTCATTTCATCTAGTTCAGCTTTTTCTGTTTTTTCCTACAGCTTCTGTAGCCTGGTATTTGTCATCTCAGCCACTTGACACATTCTAACTGCCTTTTCCAAATTAAGTTCAGGATCCTCTAGCAGTGTTTTCCTGAGGCTTGTATCCCTTATACCTTACACTATTTGGTCTCTAATCATGGACTCTTTTAGGTCTCCAAAGTTGCATGTCTGGCTCAGCAGTCCAAGGTTTTTGACAAACTCCTCTATTGTTTCACATTCTTTCTGCTATTTCATATTGAAATTGTACCATTCAAAGGTTTTATTTTGTTTGGGTATACAATATTCTTCAAATGTTTTTATTATTGTGTCATAGCTGTTCTTTTCTGTTTCTGAGAGTTGTAAGATATTGTAAAAAGACAAAGCTTCTGGGACTGCCATATTTTAAAAAAATGGTTACCTTGAATCTTCCTTCTCTCTAGCTCCACTGGCTGTCATATACATGGTGAAGTTCTGCTTAAATTTCTTCCAGTTTTCTGCTGCATTGCTGGACAGGTTTAATTCCTCTAAAATTCTGAGGTGCTCTATTTTTCTATCTTTCTTTGCACTCCACTCCTAGTACCACATGTATTTCCCAAAAGATTAAGGAGCTAATTTATAAAACAATAAATCTTGTTTATTCAGAGAGCAGTACTCTGCCTACAATTCTGCCATTCCCTCCTACAATTCCAGGGCAAATGTAACAACTTATACATAACACTCTTAAAGGCATCCACATAGCCAGCAGATCTGCAGTCACATCAGCCAACTCCCTCAGCACCCTTGGATGCATTTTATCTGGTCCCATGGACTTGTACACTTCCAGATTTTCTAAATAGTCCCTAACCTGTTCTTTCACCACTGAGGACTGCTCACCTTCTTCCCAAACTGTGCTGCCTGGTGCAGTAGTCTGGGAGCTGACCTGCCTGTGAAGACCAAGGTAAAAAAGGCATTGAGTACTTCAGCTTTTTCCCATCATTTTTCATTAGGTTGCCTCCCCCATTCAGTAACGGGTCCACACTTTCCCTGACCTTCCTCTTGTTCCTAACATACTTGTAGAAACCCTTTTTGTTACCCTTCACATCCTTTGCTATCTACAATTCCAACTGCACTTTGACCTTCCTGACTTCATGCCTGCACAATACTCTTACTATACCTCTCATGTTGTTTGTTCAAGCTTCCACTTCTTGTAAGTTTCCTTTTTGTGTTTAGCTTACCAAAGAGTTCTCTGCTAAGCTAAGTTAGTCACTAGCCACAGTTGCTATTCTTCCTGCACATCGGGATGGTTTGTTCCTACAACCTCAGTAAGGTTTCTGACTTCAGATTTTTCATTTCAAAATGTCAATTTGAGCTAAAATATTTTATTGATGTAGATGTGGAAACAATGAGGAATAGACATCACAATGTGTTTCACTGTAGTAGTCAGTTTATTTACAACTTCTATGCAACTGGAGGGACCATATAAACTACCTAAAGGGATGTCCTAGTGCATATTTCATGGGCAGCTTATAACCTGTCTCTTCTTAATTACTGCATCGTTGCAGGAAACCTGATGGGAAACTAGAGTCCTGCAGCTATAGAGAAAGAGATAGGAGGAAGAAAACCATGAAGTACAGGCTACATACTTCAGATCTCCCTGTGAAGTCCACACCTGTTGCCTGTAAATAATTTAGCTTAATCTCCAATGGTAATCCAGTCCAAATCTGAAAGCCCTGCTAAATTCGCAGCCCATAACTACTTGCCTTCTACCCCACCCCACTTTCTGAAGCATATTCAGTACTTCTCCACATGCTTCAGGCCCCTAGGACAAGATAAATAGCAGCAGCAATATCATACTCCTTTGTTTCTGGTGTTGATTCTACTGCACCACATTATTTATTTATAATGCCCTTATGGAGAAGAAACTGTGGAAAGAAAGACAATTTGCAACAAACCTATTTGTAGAAGGGCTTTGCTTTGTGTTGTTAGCTAAAAGGCATGATGCAGATAGGAAAAGAGAGCTCAGATGGCTCTAGTTAATTGAGGGCTACTGCCTGAGTGAACCTACAAATTACTACAGATATATTATAGACTGACCCATTCACTAATGCTCAAGCAGACCCCTGGGTTATAAAGACTTCATTCTAGTTATTTCCCACCTGACAGTAATTTTCCGAAGTGGCGATAATTTACTTAAAATTAAAAAAACCCAAGAGTTTATGAATGCTAGCTAAGAAAGTAATAAATACATTCAACAAATTGCTGATGGTGCCACATGGAAAACAAATTCATACAGACACTAAAATAAATCATCAGAATAGTCTTTGATATCACACAAGATGCAGCAATTACATTAAACATGAGAATGATGGGGCAAAAAGTTAAATTTCAAAATGACTATCCCATTTTGGCAGCAATACTACACAAGATGCAGCAATTACATTAAACATGAGAACGATGGGGCAAAAAGTTAAATTTCAAAATGACTATCCCATTTTGGCAGCAAACTATCAAACTTTCTCTTCCTTCACTAAACTGGAGCCAATCTTTTAGCTCCAACAACACCACCACTGCCTAATGGACACTCTGAAATTAAATGGTTTATTTCTAAACATTTTTTTCAATTTCAAACACCAACTTTCCTAAACATGTTGGCTCCTATACAATTCAGACATGTTTTGCCACTTGTACTTTTATACTTACAGATTCAACTCTCTCATTCTCAAAATCCCTATTCTAGAAGCAAAACTCAAAAATAAACAGTGGTGGACATCACAATAAGCAATTGCTTTTGAACTCTCACTCCAAAAAACAAAAGATCAAACAAAACAACATGGCTGTCAGGAAGATCACTCTAAAGTCCATATTACTATAATTACAAAAACAAGTCCATAACCATATTCTATATTCAACAATAATCAAACTATTCAAGTAAAGTTTGCTCTGTGTAATCTTTCCCTTCTTGACACTCAGCATAACCTTTAGATTTCCTTCTGCAAGGCAGGAGGGTGCTTTAACATGAACATAATATAAATGCACTCAAACAGCAGAATAATTAGGGGTAGGCAAGACGGGTACCACCTGGGCACCAACTCAGAATATAGGTAAGATTGGCAACTGTCGCTACTGTCATCCTATCTACTGCTGCCAGTGCTGATGATGGAAAACCTGCTTATGCCTCTGCCATGACTGACTCACACACCCCTTCCTTACCCTAAAGCAAGTGCCACTGCATGACAATTTATTTTGTAGATCATGGCTGCATCAGGTGTGCAGGCATGTGTGGCTTGCAGCACTACAAGCCATATATGGTGAAAGTTAAAATGTGCCCCATGCTGAAAATTTGCAGGCCAAAGTTTGCTATGGGGACTTCCCAATAGCAAAAAAAAGTCACAAAAAGCAGTGCAAAGCACATGAAAATAGTGTGCACTGGGACAAATGCAGAGATAGGGGAGCAGGCAGCCCAAGGCTGCCTACTCCCCCATCTCTGCACACTGTGGAGCCAGATAATAGTAATCCAAAAATAAAAATAAAAAGTCCTCAATGGCAGAGAAGGTAAATGAAGCAAGAATGCTCTAAAATGGTTCCAAAGGCAAATGAAAGCTTCAGCAGAATAGAAACCTCCATTTCTCTAGGTTTCCGTTCCACCAGATTGTTTTCCTTCCCGCAAAGTACTCTGTGGGTACTGATGTGCAATAACATTGCCACAGTGAAAGAAAACGTATGCAAGTGTTTTTCTTCAATAGGAAGCCCTACAGAGATGGGGTAGTGGTGAACAGGGCATGTACTATTGATTACTGGAAGCCCCTAATTATGGACCTGCATGAGGGCAATGATTGTACGATGGTTGTTTCATATTTGGAACTCAGACATGTACAATTCAGGAGCTGTAATCATGACTGAGTGGGCCTATCTAGGATCCAATTTCCTCACCCCATACAGGGAGTGGGCTAGAAAGGGTTCCCTAAACATAGTCTATCTCATTTCACCTGGCTGGAAAACTACATCCAGTGGAATTATTCTGTATCTGTGATCCAAATCAAATAATGAAGTTTCTATAACATAGCAACCTAAAAAGGGGGGAGGGGATGGGACTAGATGTAGAATTCTGCTTTATAGAAAATATGTATTTTACCAACTGATGGGTATTTTTAATTTATGTAAATATTAAGCTTTTCACCCAAATATTTGTACTAAATATTTAGTATGGTGTCATATAGAGAAAAGTTCTTATTTACAACAGGAAAATATTTTCAGGAAAAATGAAAGGGAAACTCTTTCTATCTTCACATTTTTAATGGATCATCATTAGTACCTAGCTGTTTTCATCATTTCATTGTATTCAGCTCAGGGAGAATGAGAAGTAATGGATGTTTAAATCCACGCATTTTCATTCAAAAATTATAATCATGGAGTTGTCACAAAACAAATGATTTGGGAACATGTTTAACAAGATGGCTTCAAAATAAAATTCCATCAAAAGTCCTCCTCCACTGCTTTTTAGATTAGGGTAGTCTTATATTCTCTTGGTATTTTGCAGTGTTCTAGCAAAATCATCATAGATTAAAAGAATCATACCTGAAATGGCTCAGGGCTAGTAATGTAGAGGGTTTGTCTTATCCATCTGTTGCCTTGATTTCCAAACTTGTACCATAGCAGATGTCCCTTGGTATTGCTCACAGTTCTCTTGAAGATTGACAATCTATAAACCTGCTTTCCAAACATATGATAATGGAAGCGGAAAATACATGTTTTATTGCCATCAGGGGAAGTGGCATTAAAGATCGGACTGAGCAAAGCTGCTGTATTTTGGAACACATGAGGCTCTGAGGATTCCATGTAGAGATAATGCCCCTTGATTGTGCCAAAAGTATGATCCTTTAATGGTCCTGTGTAAAACGTTGGCGTTGGGCCCTGTTTTCTGATCCAGTCAAAGTCATCCTCTGTGCCTTGCTCCCAGTTGCACAGCCCATTTTCAAAGTTACATTGTAGCTCAGGGTCTGAAATATGCAAATATAAACAATCTGTCAAATGAAAACAGTATGCAATATCAGATAAAATGATATATGATAATTTCCTTTTTGTCCTCAGAGTTACCCTCAGCATAATGAAACAAATTCAAACCAGCATGGACAAAAACTGAGAGCAGTATTTTTTTGCAAGATAAATGTGGAAATACACACACAATCAATACAAGTTATGAAGTCAATGGCAGTTATGCTAAAGTATCTGAGGGTAAAGTCTGGCCCTAAATTAAAACTTAACTATATAAAGCATTCAGAAAATATTCAAAAGGATACAGTAGTCTTGTCCAGAGAGATGACGTTCTCTTTTAATAGAAAGAGATTAAAATTGTTTTTACATCCTTATCACGCTTCCAAAACAGCATTATCAACCACCAGTTTTCCATATTTTCATAGAATTGGACCAGAAGAGATCATTAAACTATCCTGTCTGATTTTTTTTGTATAACACATACAGTGAAGTTAAACATACATCAAACCAAAATACCTTATTTATGCCAAGTAGCTCATTCCTAAACAAACAAATCTATGTGCCCCAGAAAAGTGTCTCTTCTGGTCCTCCCATTTCTATGAAATTTTAACAAATAATATTACCTTGCTCTTATACAGTAGTTTCATAGTTGCTAGGGTTGGAAGGGACCTGAGCAGATCATCAAGTCCGACCCCCAGCCATGGCAGGAAAGAGTACTGGGGTCAAACAACCCCAACAAGGTGATTGTCTAGCCAGCAAGATGATTGTCTAGTATTTTGTTCCTGTTTATCTCAAGTGATTTATAAGAAAAGGTCAGAATTATTATCCCCATTTTATACATGGCAAAACTGAAATTGAGGCTGAGGAATAAGTGTTTAGATCTTTATTTGATGATCATATTATCTTTAGGGTAGGATTCACGTTTCAGTAAAAGTCAAATTGAAAAAAAGTTTGGTTGTAATGGTACTCATGAGACTCCTTCCAGGATTTCAGCCCCAAGTAACAGAATGCTCATCCTTGAATGCTCAGAGCTTTGTTTACTATCAATACTGTTAGAACCATTACATTTATTTCATTTTGTATGTAAGACATTTGGAGGAAACAAACAGAAAAGAAAAAGCAATGATGGTATGCATGGAATATGAGAGAGGGGATGTTACATTTGTAGAATTCATAATATGTACTCAGAACCCTTTATGTAACTTAGTGTTGAGAACTGTTCACACCATCTTGCTCAACATCAGTTAAGTAAACTTCATTAAAGAAAAACTGCAGTGATTAATTCTAATGCAGTAGAGAAATTAAGCTTACATGTTAAAGGGTTTTAAATGGCTCAATCTGGTCTACTTCAGTGCAAACACCAATTTACATAGTTTCTCATCTCATTTCTCACCTATTAATTCCTCCATTCTACTGTTGCCCAGTGATTTCCTACCATACCACCAGTCCCCTCCTCTACTGCTTATGTACTGGGAACCTAGTGTATAGCCTTTTCTGAAGATCTGTTGGTCAGATTTTTGCTGCTTTATATGATCTTGGAAGGGGGGGAGGGAGGGGAAGAGACTACATATTTAGATGGTCTATTAGGAATTAGGACCAGGATCAAAACTCTTGTAATCAATAGGCAAAATTAAATCTGTTTACTATTTTTAAATTTTAAATCAAGAGTGCTAGCCAAGCACATTGTTAGTGAGCTACCTATTGCTCCATCAGATTAAGCTAAAATTATTTATTTTAAAATGAGTAAAAGTTTTGCACTAGGTTAAAATGAAATCGATGCTTGATGGTGTAAATTAGAGGTGGGGGCAGAGCAGAGGCTGGGGGAAGGTGAGGGAGGGAGGAAGGAGACGCTGGAAGGGAAGGGGGATCACAGGCTGGGGGCAGGGG